AAGGAATTTAATAGAAAGAGAAGTAACTGTATGGTATATAATAGAAGAATTATGAATAGTAAAAATAAGGTCAATAGGAACTAAACCAGATAGAGTGGAAATAAGAGATTGCATATGCAAAAAGTTATATAGTTTAAAGCTTTTAAGTATAAGAATTTCTTGATGTAAATTAGAAACAAAGTTGAAAGACATGTCAAGAGCAGTAGCATTTAAGATGCAATTAAGAGAATTAGAAATTAAGTAATAAATTGTTTAAGTAGAAGGACAAAAAGTCTAATATAATAAAGAGCTAGTTTGATTGTATTAGTAACAGAGAGGAAAGTAAGAGGAGTTACATTTGTGAAGAGTGTAAGAAACAGGTAGTTCATCTAAAAAAATTTTAATATAGAAGGTTTTTAGAATAGAGAAGTAAAAACTATAAACAAAATTAAAAACTTTTTGATTATTATTGATGTAAAGCCAAGTGACTTCCTAGTTAATATTAGAAGCAATAGTGGGCCATTGTTGAAAATGATGTTGGAATATTCAAAATGTTATGATGTAGGCTTGACAAATAGTACAAATGGAGCATTAAATAGAAATCTCAATAAGAAATTAGTCAATAAATAGAGTATAGGCAGGATTGTAAGAGTTGTTAGTTAAAAATGTTAAAAATTTAGTATTTAGTGACTATGAGCAAATTGGTCAGCAAGGTTATTAGATAGATCATCTTGGTGTGCAGTAACTTTGTGAAAAGTAAACTGAATATTGTATGAATTAATGAAGTTAATAAGAGTTTGCAAATAGAAAAGTATGGAGTATGGATATGAAAAAGTTTTAATGTTGATAAACAAATATTATAATATTTAGAGATAACAGATTATGAGTCTATAAACATATAAACAGAACAGTTTCTAGAAGCAATTATAATTGTTAAAAGAATAGCAAGAATTTTAGCTTTAAAGAAGCATAGCTAGAGTTTAACTTGTGTCTGAAATGAGTGAATAGTTGCAGAATTATTAACTTGAATCCAACCTATGTCTATAGAGCATTGAGAGGTACCAAGCTTAATAACAAAACCATTAGTATAAAATAAAATAGTAGGTAGATTATAGTTGAAATTAGCAATAAACTGTAGGCTGTCAGTAAGTTGGCCTGACTGGAAGATGCCAGGTAATTGTTGTGATTAATTGTTAATAAAGGAGATAGCAGAATATATAAAGAATGTCAAATAGCTACAGAGTATGCAATATCAAAAAAATTGGCATGTAAGTTAAGAGTTTTGTCAGTATTAATACAGCAGAATAGTTTTGTAGTCAGGCTTGTAAGGATAAAGATAGTACATTTGTTGGCAATTGTATTGGAATTAAAATAACATCTAGAACATAATATAGTAATAGAGAGGGGAGTAGGATATAGGTTTGAAAACTGAAACTGATATGAGCAGTGCTAGTGAGTAATAAGAGTAAGGCCTGTAGGGGTATTATGCCATTTGGTCTTGCCAATAATTATTTAGTCATTAAGAACAATAAATAATCAGAGTTTGGTATTAGAGTTAAAGTAACCAGTAGTGTAAGAAAAATAGTTTGTTTGAGGTAGATTAAAGTGATCATATAAAGTATATTGATAAGAATAGCTTGTTGTAATGTTTTTAAGAGTTGTGAACTATTGAAATACAACACCTTTGAGAAGCTTGTTTAATCTAGGAGAAATGTGTTTCTAGTATAATAAGCATGAATTATTATATATAGTAAGTTGGTTGAGAAAGAGTAATTTGTGATATCTAAGTTGCTTTTTAAAAATGGAATATTTGGAATAAAAGAAAAGAAAGAATTCAAAAGAAATAGCTCAATTATTTAAAGTAAATGGAATATTATAATTTAGGTTAGTAGAAAATGTCAAGCCAATATGCTTAATAAGCTAAATAATTTTAAAGTTGGTAATTATATAGTTGGAACCATTGATAATAGAATTAGAATGTAAAAAGATATTGGTAAAGAATCAGAGGTTGTTTTGTAACTATTAAATTCATATACAAGTTGATGTGCCTAATAGGTCAGGATTATTAAGTAATTTAAGAAGATTAAAAATATGGTGTTGTAGTTGGATGTCTCAGATGTGTTTGGTGTTATAAATTTGAAGATATAAAAAAGTACTAGAGGGTATTGTATAGCAAAGTTTAGCTTTAAGTTTAATGAGGCTAATATGTTAAGTGAAGATTTTATTGCAGATAGGCTAGCTAACTACAATGTTTTGAAGATGATATTTAAAAGTAGGAATAATGACTGTGTTAATAATATAACAGGCATGTAAGTCAGTAATACATTTGGTTTTAGCAATTTGAATAAGTTGAAAGGATTCAGCAATAAGCAGTTTTGTTTGTTCAGATGTCTTATTGTTCAAGGTAAACCAACAATTTAAAAATTTAAAAAGTTGTTTAGGAGAATGTAGTGAAAGGAGATGATTATTATAGAAGATAAGGATGTAGTTAGATGGAAGATTATTGGTAACCAGAATAGATATTGAGAATTAACTTGAATATTAGTTATAGCATAAAATAATTTAGCTATGGATAGTATGTTAAAAAGCTTAGTTTGTAATAAGACAACCCAAAGAGTGTCATTTATATATGCCAAAACAAAGCATTGTTTTTGTAGTGAGTTAAAGGTTTGAAGTTTAAGATTAGTAGCCTAAAAGCATTGTAAGATATAACCAGATACTTGTGCATATATATATAAGATAAATGGGTTATAATAAATACATTATAATAAAAGAGTAATGGTTTCACTTTGGTCAATACCATTGTGAACAGGGTATAAGAGAGTAAGGCCAAAATTAGTAATAACTTGGTTATGACAATCATTTAAGAGATCAGAAAGGATATTAATAATAGATGAAGAAAGTGCCAGATAAGAAAATAAATGTTTGAAAAAAGTAAAGTTGACAGAGTCATATTCTTTACTTATATTCTGTAAAAGTAGCCAAATGTCCTTATGATTGCAAGTAGCATCTTCAATAAGATTATTGAGGATATGAATAGAAATTGAAGTGCTATTGTTAAGAAGTACAATATAATTAAAAGGTAAGAGAATAGAATTAAAAAAAAATATAGTGCTTAGTCTGTTTATAAGAATTTTAGTATATAGTTTGCAAATATGTTCAACAAGACTAATAGGTCAAGTAAAATTAAGATCACTATCAAAGGAGATATATTTGAAAATAGACTAAATTTTGCTATGTTTCTATTACTTAGGAATTCTATTTTTAAGAAGGCAACAGTTAAAAAGACTAGTAATGACAGAAGTATATTTAAAGCTAAGGTGTTTGAGCATTTTATAACTAATGTCTGTAGGATCATAGGCTTTGTTGTTAAGAAGCTGACTGAGAATTTAAGAGAGCTCTTCATTTGTAATAGAAGAGTTTAAAGATTGGTACCAAATTGGGTTGGTATATATGTTTCTCTTATATACTTGTTATTCAGTTTATCTGATAATTTTTATAAAGGTGTTTTATGAACTTTTATTAGTCTAATAGCATCATTAAAAGTTTGTACTACATTTTTATTTAGGATTTCCATGTGGGTTTCTGTCTTCTTTATTTTTTAGCCTTCTATGCCTAGTGGTTTTATTACAGGTTTGCATTAAAGTCTTATGCAATACTAGTTTTTTACATTTTTATATATATATATAAAGTTATATTTTGCATAGATACTTCAAGCTTTCAATATCAAATAGAGTCCAACTTGGTATACCTAAGATTACAAATGCCCAAAACTAACTGATTAATAAGAGACAGTTACCATAACACATGTATAATTTTTAAATTTTATCATCTATAGAAATTGAACCTTAGACCTGCCATTTGAAGGTTAACAACTTATCTACTTTACTAAGTTGTCATACTTTATACTGTTCAATATTTATATAGATAATTATTTAATATTGTTTATAGTTTATATTTGATTATGTTAACAAATTTTACAATTATTCAGATTTTATTAAATAGTTTTATAAAGGAATATTAAATTCATAACACTATGTTATATATCACATTTGATCATATGATATGTATGAGTATATACATAGTACAATCATGTGTAATTATATATTAAAATGATAACAGATGCAGAAGTTTAATTTGAAGTTTAATTATTAAGTAAATAAAAAGGCATGCATGATTACAAATAATCAAACTTTTGTTTGTTTTTTTTTTGCTTCTTGAATTCTGTGAAAGCTATATAGTAAAAATCTCATATCAAAAGTGAATAAAAGAGCATCAAAACTCATACCTTAAGTAAACACATGTATTAGCTATTAGTCACTATTTTGAACATGTTAGCCAGTTTTTTCATCTTTCTTTGTTTTTGTCTTATGAAAGTTGTAAAAGTTGTAAAAGCCATGAAAATTGTAAAAGTTTTAAAAACTATGTTAATTATGAAATCCTTATAAGTCATTTAAGTTGTGAAAGTGTGAAAGTTATGTTAATAAAATTTTTACATGCCAAAAGTGTAATAATGAGTGCATTAAAAACTATACCTTTGAGCAAATACATATTGCAGTAGTATATACCAATACCTTAAAATCTTGATCTTTTTTATTCTTGATCCAGTAAAGTATTGAGCAGTTCTTTTTTCATATTTTGGTAAAACAATATTGTTAAAGCTATTAGATTCATATTTTGTTTACTTATATGTTAGTAGATTCTAATACATTTTAAATCTAAATTCTTTTAAACTCAATTTTTATTCTTTTCTTGCTTTTGAAGAGTTTTTTTTTGCTTTCCCTATTACTCTTAACTTCAAGTAATAACACTTACAGTACCAGACTCTGAATTGGCTTATGGAATCTCAAGTTTTAGATTTAGAAACTTCTGAATTATCAAAAAGTTTATATGAAGATAACAGAACTTTTAAAGGACACTATTTGATTGATATTTCTGGACCACTGCCTCACATTAATAAAAAAATTAAACTTTCTATTAATGATATATTTTCTAATTAGGCAATTGCAGAGCATTATATCATGCATTACAGTTGTCAAAAAGTATTTGTTGTTATTAAAGTGCACAATAGAACTGACAAGAATGGTTATTTAACAAATTTGTATTACAAATATGAATTTGGTGGCACTTATCAACCAAAAAAAACTGTAAATCTACAAAATCAACATAATAAAAGTATTAAAAAACTTAATTGTAACTGGAAGCTTAATCTATCATCAGTGACAGATTTGGTCCATATTACTAGTTTATATGATAATCATGTTAAACACTAGCTCTCACAAGATACTAGGATCTTTACTCCTATTAACTGTTAATTCTCTAATGAGTGTCATGAAGATATTCAATATTTAATAGTTAATGATACATATGATCTATCAACAATCAGGTCTCTTTTATCTGCTAAATATCCTGATCAACCTTTTTTTACAAGGAATCTTGCTAATATTGTAGCTCAATTACAGAGAGAATATTGTGTAGAAGAGAATGATGCATCTTTACTTTTAACAAAACTTTATAAATACAAAGAAATTGGTCCTAACTGGTATATCAAGTCTTTAATTGATTCTATTAGCAACTAACTTCGCAGAATATTTTGAATGAATCCAGACCAGTGAGAAAGATGAATCTGATTTTGTAATATAATTATTCAAAATAATACAACACAAACAAATCATTACAATTTTTCTTTGTGTCTTTTTATTTTAGTTAATAATTACAACAAAACTAAAATTGCTGCTTAGGCTTTAATGCCTGATGAAACTATTGAATCCTTTCAATAGGTTGTTCAAAATTTAGAAGAAGCAACTGGGATTCTACCAAGAGTTTTAATAACAGATGAGAATCTTTCAATAAAACACATTGCAAGTTATAATCTTTTAAATACCAAACATCTCTTTTGTTTATATCACTTAAGTCAGAATATTTTAAAAAACCTTAAGAGTAAACTTGGTGAACAGTATTCTAATTTTATTAAAGACTTTTACATAACATGTAATAGTTTGAGTGAAGATGTATTTGAATCACAGTTTGCAGATCTTTTGAATAGATATCAACTTGCATCTTCATATTTGCAAAAATTATATTCTATTATAGAATTGTGAGCATTTGCTTATATTTAAAATTTTTACTGAAGGTATGCAATTAACTCAAAAAGTCAAAGGGCTCAATAGGCATATTAAAACTGCTATAAACAGCCCATCTACTTTACTACTAGTTATGGAGGTAATTCATCAATATATTGAATATAAAAGTCTTGATTAGTGATTTACTGCATGGTCTCAAGATCAGATTAATTATAATAATCATATTGCATTGCAATATGTTTTTCCTCAAATTGTTAAACAAATCAATAAGTACTTAACACCAAATTTAGCAGCTAAGCAACAAAAACAAATAATTGAATCTACCATATATCGAGCTCAAGCACTATTATTTAATAATACTAATTTAAATAAACAAATAAGTAATACTTTATTGGAGTTGTTTTTAAGCACAGTAATGAATTTTATTAATTTTATTTTAATAGTTGCAGGATGCTAATATCTTGTTGAATTCACAAGAATTTGTATATGATAACAATTTTATTAAAAATACCTATAATATTTTACAATCATATTTGTTAGCTTTAATCACTAAAGTTGAATATTTGTCAGTTCAAGAAATTTGGAAAGTTATCTGTCTGACTTCAGCTAAGTCAATATACTATATTGTGTTGTTTAATGATAGATGTCATTTGTGCACTTGTCTTTTATTAGTTAGTTATAGAATAGTTTGTAGGCATTTTTTTGGTGTTTTACTTGAATCAAAATTTGCAAGATTTCATATAATGCTGTTGTCTATACAATGGTGTAAAGATGAAGTAGCTAAATCTGAACATGCTCAAGAACTATTTTTAATAGCAAGCTGCAATAATGAGTTAGCTCTAATTACATACTAATTAAGAACTACAACAAATATAAACTTGTTTCGAATTGATAATATTTAAGAAAACAAGTTTCAAGTGCATATAGAAAAGAAACTTCAATTTGTTAAAACTATAAGCCTTGCAAAACAGGCTATCACTTTACAAGATAATGATAAAAATAATTGTAAGTTAGAAGATTTCTTAAGAAACTATATTAAGAAGAAAAACTTAAATGTAAAAAACAAACACAACAAAAGGAACTTTGAATTCTTAAGAAGTGTCAAAATTCTGATGTTCTATCTATTGTTATACAAATTAATAATGAAAAACTAGTTTTTATTAAAAATGTTGCAGATTCTGTATATCATGTTGATAAAGAAGCACCATGCAAAAAGCATATTAAAGATAAACAAGAAAATTATTAGGTAAAAAAAAAAAATCTATATTGAAATCAAAAGTTTGTGGATTTTGCTATGAATCTAACTATTATCAAAACATGTGCTCACAAAAACAACCTGGAGAAAATAGAATACTGTAATGTTAATATGTAATGTATATTAAAAGATATCAATTTCATTTATGTATAATTATAATATTTAATTCATATATTTTTTTAGGCACTATAGTTAGTAAGTACAATTTTGTTTTTAGATAAGAGAAAAGGTGCAAACATATTAATTTATAACTATATTAGTTAATATGTTTAGATTTTCATATCAAATTGTATGGACTATATTTATTATTTTTATATGCATTCAACTTTAATGATCACATATACATATGTTTGTGTATACTAACTTTGTTGTAATGAACTAATACTTTTGTTTAATATGCATATTTGTTTTTTTTTGTATTCTGTATGCATATTTATTTTGCCCTATGTGTAATGAGATATATGGCATAAAAATGCTGCATTTGGAGATAATATCTGGATTTTGTTATTTATATTTAGGGTTGTTAAAAGTCCAATTCTATCAGTCCAGACTCCACAAATATGGACTTTAATTAGGACTTGGTTCTTAAGCCAAGTCCATATATGAACAAATAGCATGTATTTGACCAATTATAAGATCACAAATTGGAACAAAGACATGCATATGGGATTTTGTACAGAACAGGTTTGAGAAAAGTCTACATGAAGTCAACTCAAGAACTGGGTCCCTATGAGCTTTTTAACAACCCTATTTATATTTCATTAGATTCAAACTTAATGATTAAATCCAGTTGTAGCTAGTATTTAGCTTTAAAGTTAAAATACTAGTAAGGCTGTTTGAAGTTGATTCTTCGATTAACATCACTTTGCCAGAACTCTCAAAAAGAGAAAGAGGAGGGTAAAATGAAATGAACATATATAAAAATGAATGAAGGTGAACAATTTCATTAGTTAATGTAAATTAGATGACTGGTAAGAGTTATCCAGTGTTTTGATTGGCTGTTTATTTTTCAGGAGGAGACTTCAGCTAGGGAGAGAGTGATGTTAACTGAAAAATTAACTTCAAATAGTCTAAAAAAAAGTATTTTTGAAATAGGAAGATAAGCCTTATATTAATTTTTGAATAATAAGCAATTTATTTGTTTAAAAAAATTGATAAAATGAGGTTAACAAAAATTATAATTATAGTTATTAATTTATATTAATATATTGTAAAAATATGATTTAAATTTAATATTTTGTATTATTTTAAATTTTGATATGCTATTAGCTAATTTTGTTTTATCTAATATTATATGATCAGATGTTATATAACATAGTATTATAAATATAACTTTTCTTAAATATTTTATACTATTTAAATTTACTAAAATTCTAAAGAATTTTTAACTAATTTTTATTTGCTTTTAACTAACTTTTTTTTTAAAAAATATTTTTATTTTATTTTTTTTTGCTATTTATTTAATTTTTTATTTTTATTTTTATTTTTGTTACTTTAAATTTATTTATATCTTTTTTAAGTTTATTTTTTTAATATTATCAGGCATGTAATTTTTAATATATAATAAAATAAAATTATTTTTTATTTATAATAACTATATTTATATACAAATATTAGAAAATATTCTCAGATATAATTATAGGTTCAAAGAAAAGTTTTAAAAAAGATAAATCTAAGAAGACTAAAGAAAAAACTTAAAAAATAATATCAGAAAGATCAGAAAAAGTTGTAAATTAATTATTAAAATTATAGTTAGAAAATAATGATCTCTTATGCTCTTTAAAAGCTGTATTATTAACTAAAGATATTTAAAATATTTTTAAAATTTTTAAAAATTTTGTAATAATTTACAAATTATTGAGTTTTATTAAGATAATATAATATGAATAGTTATTAAATTATTAAAATAGAATTGTATTTGCAAGTTAGCTATTAAGTTTAAATATTGCATAATATTTCAAAATTTTTTAAAAAATTTTAAATATTGTTTATACTATTTAAGTAAATATTAGATTATTTTAATGTTTATTTTTGAAACTTGTGTAATTTTTTAAATTATTTAAACAGCATTATATTCTTTTTAATATATTAATTAATTTAAAAATTATTTAATTATTTTAATAACAAATAAAAGTTTTATAAAAATTCTTAAAAATTAAACATAAATTTTGTATCAAATTAAGCAACTTTTTTCTTAGTTTTAACAAATAAATAACTATATTAGAGAATTAAAGAAAAGGTTAAATAATAAATTTGATGCAACAAACAAAAAACTTTTTATGAAATAATTAATTAATATATATTTTTTTTTTTTATAGTTAAAGTTTTTATCTTGGGGATATGATGTTTTTATTCAAGTATATTAGGACATGGCATGCTACTAGGGGCTTATCTTTCATTAGAGATTACAACTATTCACATGTGCACTTTTGGTGCCTAATTTAAGTAATCTGCTTACATATTTTTATATAAGTTCTAGACTAGTTGTTATACCTGCAAGCCAACTAGGGGTCTTGCTTATTTAAACCTCTGCATATGAAATCCTCCTTGTATTATGAAAACATCTCAAAGCTATATTCATCTAAGTTTTCAATACTGGTCATTATTCTTAAAACTAGTTTATCCTCAACAGAAAACTTACTAGAGCTTTTATGTCCTACACATATAGACCTAGTTTTATGCAACATGTTATAATTACCTAACACTTGCAGTCACAAAGGTTATCTGTTTAAACACTATATTACACTATATCTACTTTTGTAAAGTTCACTAGAACTCCAGTACTTATCTTCTTGGCATCTTCTTCATTATTTTCTACTAGCTGCAACTCAAAACTATTAGTCTTATTTCAGACTACCAATTCAGATAACTCAGTATAATATACTTCTGTATCTTTTTCCTTTGATAAATCCAGCAGCCTAGTTGGTTATATGCTTCTTTATATATATTTGATATTCAGTTTTAATCTTCGATTCTTATGAAGATGTTTCATAGGCTTCAACCAGTCTGATGGTACTACCAAAAGTTCATGCTATCTCTTTATTCAGAAATTTTAAGTGGATTTCTGTTATTTTGGTTCCTTAGTTTTCTATGCTTAATGGTCTTATTATGGGTTTGTACTGAAGTCTTATGCAACACCAGTTATATATTTCTTTATACGTATATATGTAATGTTACACTTCACATAAATGCTCTGAGCTCTCAATATCAGTAGAACCCGACTAGATATATCTGGGTTACAGCTGCATGAGGCCAACTGATTGACAGAAGACAGTTATTATAATACAGCTATAATTTTCAAATTTCATCATAGGTGGGATTTGAACCTTAGACCTGCTACTTAAAGCATAACAACCCAACTACTATACTAGGATTGTTATTTTCTAATTAATATTTATTTTAATTTTAGTTTATAATTTATTATAATAAATTTTTTATAATAACAAATTATAAAAAAAGCTTTTAAAAATTTAATAAAAAGAGCAATATATCCTAAAGAAGAAGAATTTAAGCTAGCTATAAAGTATTACTTAATGGCAAATTATTCTGAATTTATTACATAAAAGTAGAAAAAATAATGAAATACTTACTATAAAAAGAATTTTTATAAACTAGTATGATAGTACAAAAAATATTAATTCTAAAATTCTCTATTTATAAGGTAAACAAAAGTCTTTTGTATAATATTAGATGGGTTAGTACTCAAAAATGGTATTGAATTTAGGTAAGTACTAAGGGTAAGTATCTCTTTATTAACTATATTGCAAGACCTCTTTTTCTTACATTATAAACATATTACTTATATACTTTTTCTCTATATACTATATCTATTAATTATACTTTATATACTATATCTACTAATTATATTGATTATGCTATATCTATTAATTATACTCTATATGCTATATCTACTAATTATGCTAATTATGCTATATTTACTAATTACACTTTATATACCATATCTACTAATTATGCTCTATGTACTATATCTACTAATTATACTCTATATATTATATATTATTACTTCATTATATGATATAACTTAAATAGAATATCAACAATCTTATTTTAGATTATGACACTAGTAAAAAGTTTTTTTAATTTTTATTAAATAGGTATTGTTAAAAAAAATAACTTTAAACTTTATTATAATTTTTAGGTAAAGTTATTTTAACAATATTTTACGATTATTTGTTAAGAAATCTAAATTAAAATATTTTTAATAATATTTAAATTTATTCTTTTTTCTTAATAATACTTAAATTTTTATTTATTATTTTTATATTTAGAATTATTTAAATAAATTTTGCTAACCATAACTGGTGGTGATAATTACCAGGTCATGTGATGTATAAAAATGCACAAGAAAGATTATACAAAATTAATAAATAATTATATTTATTTATATATATGTTTATATAACTTCTATATAAAACAAATACTTCATAAATAAGTACTGCATATAAAGTAGTATAATCAGGTTAATAAATTTATTAACACATTTCTTATATCTAGACATATTATAGTTAATTAGACTCTATAGACTATACTTGAATTATTCATATAAACCTATAATCTTAATGTCCTAATATGATATATAATTTTAGCTCTAACTGTAACTACATGCTAATACGAGTATATTCTAACCCTAACCTTAACTACACACTAACAGAAAGTATTTTTCTAACTCTAACTTTAATTCTAACTTTAACTAGAATAACCTACTAATAGATTATTATATTTGTCATTAACCAACCAATCCACATTTCTGCATTTATAGTGCTTGTCTTTCAAATAAAATATTTAACTTTGGATTATTTGGAATTATTTTATACAATGACTATTAATATCAAAGTGAACTACTATCAAACTTAGTATTTATAGTTGTAAAACATTGAATTGTTATATCTTTAGAAGTACTTTAAACTATTAAATTAGTTATTTAGGTAATATATTTAAATTAGCTAATCAAACAAATACCTTTTTATAAA